GAATTAAATTCCAGTGGACCAAATATTTTACATATTTTTTATTATCAACAATGCAACCTAAGTATCCTAGCAATTTAAAGAATTCCCTGTGGTGATCTATTGGGATTGGCTATCGTTTTTTATTCTTATCTCCCTTATCCTTTGCGTTGGACAATTTGAATTTTTAAATATGTGTTTCAAATTACTTTCGGTACGTTCCCTTTTTCTCTGTGACGCGAGTTCTGGGACATCCTGTATAATCCGTGCGGTTCAGAATTTTTATTTATTACACATATATATTTATGTAATAATAATTATGATTGGAAATTGAATTACTAATCAATCACTGAATAGCTATTTAGTTGAAATATAATACATACCTAAATAAAATAATTAAAATAAACAAACTGGTTAAAAATTTTAAGGAGGCTATGCCTCCCTTGCCGAGTCACATTAGTAATTTGTAATTATATATATAAAATACATTAAAATGGGACTAAATAAAAACTTTTATTGCATAGTAAATTTTGTTGATCATTTTTAAATTAATTCATTAGTTTCTTAAAAACAGAATGAGAATAATTAAAAAGTGGTTTAATCTGTTGTTAATTCAGGGTGTTCATTTAAAAATTTTGTTAAAGAATATTTTTAACTTGCCTAAGCCGTTGTATTTTCACAATGATTTTTAATTAAGTTATTCAGGAATTTTATAATTAAACCTCATAAAAAGACTTTCCATTATGGAAATGCATTCCATAATATTACCCTAACCTTTGGAACTGGTTTTTAACCCTGATAAATATGTATCAGGGTTTAATACAAATAAACTAAATTTAAGTTAAAACACATTAAGCGGCCTGTTCTTCAAGTATTTGTAATATTTTTAATAAAATAATACGTGTTTTGTAGGACTTTTAAATAACAACATGTCGGTTAGGGTTAAAATGTTAGGGTAAAACATGTGTTTGCAAGCCCTGTCAGAAAAATAATTGCTTGTCACTCAAAATAGTTGGATGTATGTCTCCTTAGCGATATTGTATACAAAACAAAATTCCCCACAAATCTTAAAAGCTTTGCTTAAAAACCTTATATACATCTAGGGAAAGCCTTACGAAATCACACATTTGAACTATATATGTTAAATTAAATTTAAATGTCACTCTAAATTAAAAACATAAACGTATTTAAAAAGGAAAACCAGAATGGTCACATATTCTTACTTAGGACAAAACCAGAAAAAAGGCTGAAGAACCTAAATGGAAGCTTTTTGGTGGTCTTTAAATTATTTAATTGTAATTGTAATTTCATTTCGTTTAAATATTTGTGTATTCAAAGTTCAACTTCAGGTCGGGACGACCCTAAATTAACTTAAAACTATTACCAATATCAAGTTCTTTAATAGTTTAGTGGCTATAAAGTGCTTTAATGTCCGCGAAAAATATGGTCTGAAATGTAGGAATAGAACTCTAAACTTGCTTAAATATAAAATTTATTGACGTATAAATATTATTGGGATGCTGAAAGAGAATTTAAAAAATGGAAGGAATTAAATTTAGTTTCATTTCACAATCTGACAAAATAAAATAGGTTTAAAGGGTAATTGTATTTCTAAAATTTTATAATGATCCTCAAAATCCTTGGGACTTTTTTTTAATTTTTTGTTCCTTGGTGTATTTTTAAAAAAATACAACAATTTTTTTTTCATTTTTTTCTGAAAAGTGCAGAATCAAAATAAATAAAAAAACGTGCCATTTAGTCTTTATTTTTTTGGTTCTGGTTTAAAAGTGGTCGACTTGTCGTGAAACGACCCTTATATAATAATGCTTAAAGATTCCTTACAGTTATGGTGAGAATTATAAGAACAAAAGATAGTGATGGTAACTTAAAATATAGAAGCGAAGAAATTAGATGAAAATATAGATACATGTGAATGTATCGATGTGTAACGATTTTTGTCTTTGACAGGTTTTGTGTTTAGTTTTCAAATTTTAATTGGCTAGGGGCTCTTCAAATAAAAAAATACACATTTGTATACACATAGGAGGATCGCAAAGCAGAAAAGAAACTCGGTGCACCCTGTATACAGGGTGTCCCAAAAATGGCGCTCCAAAGGCTAAAGTTAAACTCCAAGATGAATTTTCCTTTACCATTTTTATGAATTTGCAGTTGCAAGTTATTTAATTTTTAAAGCCGCCAATTAGAGCCCAGTGTTTTTGCTCCATGCAATTTTTGGGTTATGGTATATTAACCTTAAAATTAAATTTTGACAGGTTGATGACAGCCTTGGTAGAATAAGGTTTATTTTTTAGAAAAGAAGTTGTACTGACCTTTCGATTTTGAGAGTTCACCGGGGAGTGCCTATAAAACATCTTTATCTTCACGCGGTCTATAATTTAAACTTTATTGTTGTCAACATTCGAAGAAATACCTTGTTATGGCCTAGGCCGATAATAGTTATTTACGTGTCAAGCTTTGTAAATGAATCTTTACGGGCGAGCTGGGAGTTTGTGGGGTGAGCGATGCAGGAGCGAACCCCATAATTCAGTGAGCCTAGTAAAGATTAATTGCAAAGCATGACACGTACAAACTTTTATTTTCACCTTAAGATAACGATTTTCAAATTTAAAATTTCAATTAATGTGTCAAATGTGTCATTTCATTTCATAAATTGCTTTTCTCGATTTTTATGTAAGAATGTCATATTCTCGCACGCAAAATCGTTGAAGAATGAAGCTCATTCTTAAACGATTTTTGGTATCATTTAGTTTTTAAGTATTGGTACCCCCAAAATGTCAAACTGATTAATAACCTCAAATTCATTACTTTTATTGAAAATGAAGCCTTTATTATTGTTTTGTAATATAAAGTTTGCTCCAACAATGCATTTTAATGCAAAATTTTAAGTTTAATGTGTAAAAGTGCAGTTCAGGTTGTACTTGTGCAGGATAACAAATATTGTCATTTTGTGTTGCCAACTGACATTTTGCGAGAAAAATCCCCTAACTAACAACGACCACAAAACAATTAAAAAAACCTAAATAAAAGTTAAAATCGAGAAAATAGTATAAATCACACGTTGCAGAAGGCTATTCTCGCACTCATTCGTTCGTCCACTCGCTCCTTCGTCGCTCGAGGCCAAATTTCGAATTCGTGCGAGAATATGTGGCCTTCTGCAACTTGTACTTTAATATACTATTCTACAGGCCTGTAAAACTTTACAGGTCTTTTATACAAGCCCGTAAAATATTACAGGTCTGTTCCCATAATGTATCGTTTACTTGGATACAAAAACAACAAAATTAACCTATAAAATGTCATTTACTAAGAAGGTGGAAATAAAAAATGTTATGAGGCAAGTAATTAGTTCGATTTTTTCTCGCTAGAGGTATTGTTTTGACAAATTAATCCTTTTCTAAGAAATTAACGTACTAAACTGGTTTAATTTATTTATATAATAAGCACTTATTTGTTTGTTTTACTGTTAATGTTTAATATTTTTCATTAAATTATTGTAAAATTAAATATGAATAATAAAACAAAAAGTGATGTTAGGCAACCAAGAAAACGCACGATTTTTTTTCTACGATTTAAATTATCTTTAAGTTTTAATTTGCTTTAAGTTTTTAGTGAAATTAAATGTTAAACACAGCTTAAACATTCCAAACTACCTATTTTTTTAATAAAAATCCAAACAAATTGAAATTAGATATCTACCTATTTATTAAACAATTAATTGAATTCAATGTAATAGCAAAAATCCATTTCTACTTAAATCATGTTGCTAGGTATTGTCAAACTATTACTGCTTCTAAAAGCAATAATAATTATTGTACATTTAATGTAATCTTTAGCTAATAAATAAATGAGATTCTAAAAAGGTGAGGTTAGGCCGCTTTGATATTAAATTAAATTGACCTATATAAAATGCTTTTAAGATAAAATTTTGTATGCCATTCGGCCAAGAAGTGCCTTTTTGTGCTTCGCTCAATTGTAGGCCTCCGCTACGCGTCGGCCTTCAAACCTTGAGCTTAGCACAAAAAGCCTTACTTCTTAACCTAATGGCATAAATAACTATTACTTACACTGTAAAAAACTGCTTTTGTATCGGATTTAGTTAGTCTATTTTTAAGGGATAAAATTCGATTAAGACTCAAAAAACATTTGACATCCCACACAAAACACAATTTAGAATGGTTACTCTATTTTTTTATAGATGTCCCTCTATACAAATATTGCATTTAAATCATTTTTAGATAATAATAAGTATTTGTTGTAGAATAATATACTTCTATTATCTCAAACAAAAATACGAAAGTATTAAATAGTTTCTTGACGCCAATATTAATAACCTTTTTATTTCGTCGGTAGTAAACTAGATTTATTTAAATTTCGGGTGATTCGGTGCGCAGGTAATACAGATGTCCAAGAATGGTTACTCTTATATTTTATAGATTTTGCTCTATAGAGCATATATATAAAAATATAAGTAACTATAAGTATTTGTCGTAGAAAAAGTATAGTATGCAACTCGTTTTAAACTTTTCTAGACACTCATTTAGTTAAAACTCGTGTCTAAAATGAAGTTAATGATACATGATACATAATATATTTTAGAAATAGGTACCATTTAAAAATCCCTAATTCTAAAAGAATTAAATATTCGTATAAAAGTAAGGTTAAAATATGATTTAAATTTCAAACCTTACTTAATAGGTAGGTACTGTATAATTTTATTAACGATACACTACTTGTATTTATTATTTATTCAACCGGTGATGCAAAACTTTAAACATACAAATTTTTATATTTATAAAAAAATATTTAATGGGCCAGTAACTTAACTATCTTTAGATAGATATTTGGTCGATTTTCCTTGGTTTTGTTGTTCTATATCCTTTACCCTTTCCAAAGCTATGTAAAAATATTATTATAAAAACAACTTTCTAAATAAATCAAGGTTTCTTGAGTAAATGGCATTTGTTTGTAAAGGACGGATTTAAAAACCCTATTTTTTATTCCAGATCGCAACACGCCAATACCAAGACACCACGAAAACGACGAAGACTCATTCCCGGTGCTGTGCGACCGGGAGCTACATTCCTTGCACAGAAACGTTCCAGCGCTAAGAAGACGGGACGTTGACACTGCCACTATAAAGCAACACTATTATCCCGAAGGTATGTCTAATGCTTTGCGTAATAGACTCATGGGCGCTCATATTCAGATTAATCGGGGTGGACAAGTAAAAAAAAAGTATCAACAAAGATTAACTTTTGTTAAAGGTGAATTAAAAATAAAACTTTTTATGTCTGATTTTGAAAAGCTAATATTTAATAAAACAAGATACATTACACATATATGTACGAGGTGTGTTCAGAAAATATCGGGAATTTTCGTTTTTTAAAACAAATTGATTATTTATTCGTCTACATTAATGTTGTCGCCTTCAAAATAGTCAACATTGGATATTATGCACATGTGCCAGCCCTTCTTCCAATACTCGAAACACTTCTAAAACTCGATCTTTGGGATAGCCTTTAGTTCTTTCAGCGATGCGCTTTTAATGTTTGCAAAACGGAATAGGAAAAAGTCAGACAGAGGCATGTCTGGCGAATATGGAGGCTGGGGCAGTATTACAGTATTGTTTTTGGCCAAAAATGTTGTTCAAAATTTAACAATTTTAAAACAAATTTTGCTGCCACGCGTTTCATACCCAAAATATTTGAAAAAATTTCATGGGATGAGCCAATCGATATACCAACATCATCAGCGACTTCTCTGATAGCCTTTAGTTCTTTCAGCGATGCGCTTTTAATGTCATCTATGCTTGCAAAACGGAATAGGAAAAAGTCAGACAGAGGCATGTCTGGCGAATATGGAGGCTGGGGCAGTATTACAGTATTGTTTTTGGCCAAAAATGTTGTTCAAAATTTAACAATTTTAAAACAAATTTTGCTGCCACGCGTTTCATACCCAAAACATTCGAAAAAATTTCAGTTTCTGATGGTTTATAACCATTTCTTCCACTTTTTTCATGTTTTTATCGGTTGTTAATGCGCTTGAGCGTTCGGGGCGTTCGTCATCTTCAACGTCTTCACGGCCATCTTGGAAACTCTTATACCACTTGTAAACTCTTGTCTTACTTATAGCAGTCTCACTATAGGCCTTTGTTAACATTTCACAGAATTTATTTAATTTTTTAAGCAAAATTGGATACCAATTCTTTGATCCATTTCTTTTAACGAACGAAAAATCGCCGAGCTCATAAAACACATATAACCTTAGCAGCTGCCACAGACAAAGTAAACAATAAAAACAGCTAAAATTTTTATCATACTTCGGGAGCATATATACCAACATAATAAAGAAAATTTTATGACAACCGGACCCTCCGAACCCGCGAAATTTAACAATTCTCGTTATTTTCTGAACACACCTCGTATATATAAGTATACTTAAGGTATACCTGACAAAATGTCGCAAAGTCAATAATTTTAATGTAAGGACAGAATTCTTAAACTCTTGAAAAAAAATAGTTATTTGTAGTTGTAGTGTTGAAAAGCGACTTTTTCATGCGAGTGTTAACGAGCTTGAAGAACGCTTTTCTCACAAGTGAAACACAAAATTTTTTCTACGACCCTTTTATTTATATATGACGTTTGAGATGTGTTATATTATAGGTTATTTTCATGAATTTATTCTACAGTGACCTGTAAGTTTAAATTTTCTTTGCTGATTTCGAGCTAAACGCGATAGATGGAACCACTATTCCTATGTAATTTCAATTTATTTTTATTATTGTACGGCGGTGTATAAATATGAAGTATTTAATATGAAAAATATTATAACCTAAATTTTAAGATTTTAACATTCTAATTTTCAACTCTTGACTACTTTCCTAATAAAAAGTAACAATTGAGGCGTTTCTCGGAAAAACATCATTAGTCCAATATCGTCGAAATTTAGATATTAGCACCAACTGTTTCCTAACCTCCATATATACGTATACAAATAAGTGTTTCTCGTAAAAATGTCATAGGTTCCATAATAATTAAATATGAAATTTAGCTTGTTCTTCTAAAAGTCCACTCCGTTTCGTCTAAGAAAGTCACATGTGCCTAACATGTGACGTTTTTGGACACTCTAGAAAAGCTTCTACCTCTTTTACATGACCACAGCAATAGAAAATTTTATGATAACTTGATAAAAGACCAGAAGACCATAGCACCTGACAGTCCTGATAACACGGTCGACAACGATGATAACAGCAGTGGATGCGAAGACTGAGTGTGGCAGTAATACAGTTTTTAGTTTTTTCATTTATTTCGTTAATATTTAGTTTGTAGAGTTTGTAGTAAGGAGAATTGTTCGTTTTTTTCTTCTAAAAACCTCACATGTTCATGTATTTTTTGTGTTTTTTTCATATTCGTTTGAAAATACAAACATGAGGAATTCTGGACAAAGTATCTTACATTTTTTTACATGTAGTAAATAGATCAATAAAGTACTTTGTTAAAAAATGGGAATGTCGGAGAGTTTTTTTAATTTTCCCAAATATGTTAATTTTGGACTAATGATGTTTTTCCGAGAAACGCGTCAATTGTAATATTTTGGTCACATTTATTTATTTAACATATTATTATATTATTTTTGCTCCCTTGGTATCCTAAGGGGCGCCCATGCTTGTACTGTATCTATGTGTACTATTTACTTTGCCTTTAGCCTTATCTTGCTTGGTTATCTATTCAAACTGGATTTTCTAAGTTAGGCGAATGGATTTTGCATTAATATTTATACCCTGTTCTCTTTGCGCGTGAGAGGCCAATTTAAACATGGAAATTTGCCACAAGTGATATAATTGAATAAAAAGAAAAAAGTATTTTATATTCTTCTTAAACTTTAACGTTTTATGTAAAAATTAGCCTTTATTTCAAACGTATAATAATTTTTATATTATAACCCTCATAAGTCTATATAGAAAGACGTATTAATACTAGTACAAAAGTCAAATTATTATAGAGCTCGGTGTAAAAATTAACCCAATGATTTTAATGTCTTTATGTAAGTTGAACCTAACCCAAAAATGATGTGACAAAATCTTAAAGAAATAATTATAATAATGCTTGAAAAAAATAGCATATAAAACACGGCGGCAAAAGCTTATTAATTGCCTTGCACACTTTCCCCGGCTGCGTCCGGCAGTAAATATATGCTCGGCTATAAAATAGGCCTTCTCCGCCTGGTCTATAATATATTATTATCAATTACGTATTGTAAATATTAATCCCGGCGCATTCGCCATTTTTGCAATTTTAAAATAACAGTATAATAATATATTTTTCTACTCCTTTTTCATAATATTGCCAGTATTTGTTTGTCTATATATTTATATGTTTATATATTTATAACCATTATAACCGCCATACCTAACAACGGGAATAATGAACTCAATATTCCTGTTGTTAGGCATCATTTCATTATACCTACACTGTGATTTTTACAAATTGAGTAAGTGCAAAGACATCATAGTCGCCTCTGGTATACTATATGAAATCTGACATCTGTCAAATGATGCAACCTCACTTGTTAATTTCTCCTTTATTTTAACTCCTCCCAATAAAAATTATCGGATAATTTACATCTGTCGCCTGGTGGCTCATAACGTAAATCTTATCCTCGTGAATAATAGGATATCGTATAATAATATACTATACTATTAAAACCTCCTATGCTGTAAAAATAATTTGGACCAATCGGGTAAAGTTTTTTTACCTCCTTGTCTGTACCAATTTAAAAATTTAACTAGCGTCAAATTGTACGTTTTATGTCTTGTTTAACGAATAAAATTATGCCTTAAAGATAGAATGTGGTATGTTATGCGGTTAAGAAGTGTCTCAATTGAGCACAAAAAAATTTACTTCTTAGTCTAATGAATATTGTTCCAATCACTTGGAATTGAGATATGCGCTCGAAAAAAATAAACTAAGATTAGCTGAAATAAGCTTTCTCAGTTCGTTTAGAATTGATCAGCTATTCGTTATTGTCAATGTTAACTAAGTTACTAAGTATAATGATTTACGTTTTTTTAACAAAAAAATATGTGCAACTCTTGATGAATGATCTATCCCAAACTCGCATTCCTCCTACACTGGCTTCGCTCGCGCATCAAACGAATGCTCTTTTAAAATTGACCATTTTTCCCACTCGTTAAACAATATACCACCAAGCGTTTAATTTTTATAATTTAACACTCATAAGTACGAGTATATATAAACTTTATATAAATACTAGTTTAAAAGTCAAATAATAAAAAACCTGTGTGCCTACTTTGTACGCGCGTAAAATTTATACTTCTTTGGCTTATTAATTATAGTTTATGTAAGTAGGAAGAACGATCAAATTTTCGAATAAAGTTATTAAATACAATTAACCAAGTTTTGATTAAAAATTGTAAAAGGTTTGTTGACACTAAAGAAATTTAAATACTTTGAAAATTGGACGTTCTACCACTTTTTAAATTTATCTCATTGTGCAAATTTGTCCTACCATTTTTTCAAATTTTAAACTACAGTGCGGATGTGATCTGTCACTTTTTATTTAAGGACAGTTTTAGATTACCTATCCAATTTTGTTCGAATTTGGGCAAATTGCGATTTTATGATACCCTGATACTTACGGGTTTTTAAAAGCGTTTAATATTTATTTTTTCGACTTCAAAGGATAACGGTTAATTAAATTATAAAACCTCACAAGGTTGGACGCTGTATGAGCCCGAAATTTAAGTTCAGTTACGAGTCGTAACTTATGACTAATGTGTGTGATCTTATTTTAGGCTTATAACTTAACAGGTTTATTTACGTACGAATGATAATAAGGGAAAATCGTTTAAAAATTCATTTATGGTATGCACAAATATGATTTAGATTGGCGCAAGTTTTTGAACATTTTAAAACCAAAAAAACAATCTCATATTTAGTGTTATTTGCATACTCCTTAATAAATATTTCCCTAAAATCTCCTATAAATTATTATTTTTGTTAAAGGTGGCTGGGGATGGTTGGTGTGCGGAGCTGCCTTTATGGCTCATCTCCTGACATCAGGTCTCCAATTAGCATTTGGTTTGCTGTATTTGTATGTCATGAAGTTCCTAATAAGAAAAAACTTGGAAAAGGATTTTTACATCATGGCCACAGGTAGGAAATCGACAACAAAATAAATTGATTCAAAGAAGTCAAATATAATTTAAAGTGTTTTTAAATTGTCACTAAAAGATACAAAATATCAATAATATGTACAAATCGTGGATTCCAAATATGCAATAAAAAATTGCATGTGCCAATGCTAATAAGAACTAAATTTAAATTTAATTTTAATTAATTTTCTTTCATTTATTTTTAGAATGTACCATTTGGGTCATATTCTGAGTTAAAAACGGCCAATCAGGTTGCAAAATATGTTAAACTAAATATAATCGAATTGCCGACAAATATGCCCAATCAGTTGAGTAGTTTAAGTGCAATTGGTCAAAAATAAGAACGCAAAATTTACCTTTTAGTCAAGAACGAATAAAAATCTTTAAAATCATTTTCACACTTTTTCAAAGAAAATAAGGGAAAAAATATATGGATAAATGACAAAGTTATGACCGTTTATGTACAATTGACGACATCCAAATGTAAACTATTTTTAGGTGTCATGGAATTTTTTAAAGAAATTAATTTGTCTGGCTTTTCCATGGCAACAATTTTTGCAAACGAGATATGACCCAACTTGTAAAGCTGTCTTCGAAAAACTAATAAAAGAAAATTAAAAATTCAAATCTCAAAAACTTTTCCATACAATTTTTTGAGTTTAGCAGGCCAAAGTACATTAAAAAAAATAGTGGCAATAAATGTACATTCTGGCTGTAAACCAGTGTTATAAAAATAGTAGTAGAATGTACATTTCTTTTTTATTAATTTGTAATCAACTAAACAGTAGGTATTTATTAACAAAACTATTATTCTACAAAGCTTCATCTGAGTTTAGTGTGTTATTAGTACAACATTCGTCGTTTAAAAGTTTATCCAGGCTTAGTTCGCTTAAAGTTTGTTTGCTGATTTCGATGGAACTCTGCAGCTGTTTATAATCCTCCGTTCTTAATTCGTGAATTTCATCGCAAGCTTTCTTCCACTGATCCTTGAAGTATTTCTTTGTTTGCTGTGCTTCCTCGAACTTTTGCTCCAAGCCTTTAAGTTCTTGTAGCAAGTTTGTTGTTTGTTCTTTGGTCAAAGTATTTTTTTCAACATTGGTGAGTTTAAATTGTTTTTCTTCTATAATGTCCCTAAGATAATTGTTGTCTCTCTGAGCCCTACTTAATTCTTCTATAATTTCTTTCGCATCAGCTGTCAAATATTTCTTCCAGTTTTCCTGAAAAATCCCTTCAAAGGTATTGTTCTCATTCCTTCTCCTAGTAAGATCCTTCTCTAGCTTCATTACTTCAACTTTTTTGGTTAAGTCGTCTTGTAGCTTCCTGCATTTATCAACTTGTTGTTCGAGTTGCTCCTGCATATCATTTTTTTTCTCATTGTATTCATCTTCCAATTTCTTTAATTCTTTTTTCTTAATATCACCTAGACCAGCTTCAAATTTATCCAGCTCTTCTATCTTCCATTTTTGTAGATCGCCCAACTCCTTAATAAAAATCATTTCGTCCAAAACCGGGGGATTCAATAGTAAATCTGATTCTTCTATATCTTCTAGGTCGTATTCTTCAAGGGAAACGCTAAGGCAGACTTCTGCTAGAATATCTTTGCTATAAGCAGACTCCATTAATACCATGGATGTTACGTATTCAGAGTATTGGACATTTGTATTAAAGTAGTTTGTCTTTGATATGGCCTGATCGTTTTCATCTAGTATGGCGAATTTGGGTTTCCACATTTGCAGCAATTGTTTTATGTGTTTATCGGTTGATATGTAAGGCATTTTGACTGTTAAACTAGTCAAGAAAAGTTCCTCGTCTAGTGCATTATCCATCTCTATAAACACAGTAATAAAAACTGATGTGGTTGGGTGGAGGAATTTAAATATGAATTTTGTGGTTGGGATGTGCATTTTCCATGTAATGGATTTTATGGATGCTTCTAGCACGAATTTTTTGTTTATTTCCAGAGTGTCTTTTTCATTGATCGATGAAATTTTTGGTGTTACATCTAATGATTTAGTTTGAATGCTTTCCAAAGAGTTATATAAAGGTTCAGCACCGGAAATTTTTTGATCACCCGATCCACCTTGTTCAGAGAAACTGACTTCTTTTCGTTGCGACGGCATCGAATATGGGGATCTTGGTACTTGTCTTGACGAGTCAACAGATTCTCTTAGAGTGGTATCTATTTCTATATAAGGGCTTCTCATTTTAACGTCTTTCGGTACGATGCCATTTGGACTGGGGAATTTAAAGTAATATAAACTTTGTATTTTCGGTGGGATTATAGAGATATCCATATTATTTTCTGTTATTAAGTTTTTTAAATCGATGCTTGTCATTCCCAACTTGTCTCTTCCACAGAAGAAGTTAATGGTTATCGGTTGTATGGCAAAAAAATTCTTTAAAATATCCAACGATGATAGAATTCGAACAACAATTTTTTCATTCAAGTATATATCTTCGTGTAATTCCGTGTAAAATGGTTTTGTTTTTATTGTGATTCCGAAAATTTTAAACGACATAAAGTATTTTTCTTTGCTCTGTCTAAAAACCAATACTTCAGGCAGTAGGGTATCCAAATTCATAGCTCTGGCTACCAATAGGTTAAATGTAAACGGTTTTGTTGCTATAGCTGGATCACCTATTTGAACGTAACCATCTTCCAAATAATTAACCGCGAACGATTTGTCTATTAATTCGTCTACACTATCATTTTCCTCTTCCGATATATAGGGCATTAAATCTGTGGTTTCAACTTCAGTACCATTGGGTAGTAAATGGTCCCTTATTGTCAAAGAAACATACAACTCCGGGTGGAAATTCTTTTTGTCGAACTGACACCCAATCAATTTTTGCCAGTGAAATGGCACCGGTTGTTTAACGTCCTTTAAAGGTATAATCATGGCACTTCTTAGGCTTAGCAAGGTAAAGCCAACGCGCTCTTTTCGCGTTAAGTGGTCCATGGTCACGCATTCAACCCTTAGTGGTTGATTTGATGTTCTAATTTTGCGAAGGTCTTTTTTCTCCACTTCCCATACCAATTCAGTGTTGAACGCAGGGAAATCCCCTGGTTCTACTTTATCAGACTCTAAAAGGGATATATAGGTTAAAGTAATATTTTGTGATGTTATTAATTACCTAAAACTCTTCCATTAAAATTTGCCAATATATTGACTGGGTATTTTAAAAAATCCATCCCTTTGCCTTCTTCTATCGCCAGTACAACGTTCACAAACTTTCCGCTAAGCTGATTCATAGTGATATAAAATAATAAATACGTATATGGATATAAATTTTATAAAATATGTTGTAAATAAAATGTTATTTTGACGTTTTTGTCATAATTTACTAACTTTTTGGTTAAGTTTAAGAACTATTCGAACATTGTTGTAAAATATTTGTATGTTCGGTCAATTTATTAAAGTTGTGAAATTAAAACCGACTTAAACGTTTTCATATAAATTGTGGAATGCGTTGGTAAAAATTTGGCTCGATTCCACACATTCCTTTGGTCATTAAATTAACTACAGAGTTATTCAAATTAATGAGTCCTCTTTTATTTGTAAACTGTTTATGTTATGCTTTGATAATTGGTTTTTCACATTCGTTTCACAAAAATGGCAATTCAATTATAGTCTACAAGCTATCAGGTTTTATAACCCCACCATAACATTATTTTACTATATGTGCTTTGCTGAATTCTTTTTATATTGTATAATTTTAACTTTGTATTTTATTTAAGAAATTTAAAAATAAATGCGTAATAAAAAATTAGGAGCATATTCTTTATTTTTGATAGGGTACTAAACTTTTTTTTCTATATTTAAACATACATTAAATATATCTTAAACATTATAGATTAAAGGCTTTCATGGCCGCATCTTTAAAGAAAAACTTTATTTTTGGGTTTAAAGTTTAAACCCAAAATTGATGTTTTTCTTCAGGAAGTCTTTTGTTTTCATATAAAATGAATAAAATCGCTTATCACTAAACTACTTGACGGCAGAAGATTTTACAATGTCTGTTTAGTGTATTATTGATATTTTTGTATTGGAAAACATGTTTGTTTCACTACACGACAATGCGTTCTATTAAAAATATAGGTATGTTAGTTTTTAGTAACAGGGTTATCAACTTCTTTCCAATCGGTGCACCGCAGTGGCGCTAAATTTAATTACAGAATGTTATGTTTAAAATTGAATAATGTTTCATACAATCGTTTTTTTATGTTTTTTTTTAAGCTTGGCATCTAATAAAACGAAAACTAACAACATGTTGATATTTTTAATAGAGCCAGTTCACAGAAAAGTCACACTAAGACTCCGAATTACGGTTAACAAGCCCTAAAACAATTTTAAAATATCCTGTTGCTGCAACAACATTGTTGCCATTTAGTAAATGGCATTTACAATATAACATTTATAAATTTTAGGAAAAGACACATTTTTAATACAATTTAGAAAGTGTCCCTAGTAGAAACAACGTTTTCCCACGTTAACACATTAGTGCATAAAGTTTAAAAAGCTAAATTAAAATAATTTTTTTGCTTAGTCGGTTTCTTTATTAGGCAAATTAGCATCTTAAACGAACATCACAAAATTTCTTTATTACAATAGAAAATTAGTAACATCCGATATATCGGATTATGAGCCTAACTTGGTTAAAAAGTATGATAATTCTTAAAACACATTTTCGGGGGCAGTCCTTTTTGACAAATGCAAATTTGCTTCAACATTTTTTTGTAACATAGTGCACTAACATGTTATCAATGTCCTAAGGATGTATTCATGTACGAGGTGTGTTCAGAAAATATTGGGAATTTTCGTTTTTTGAAACAAATATTTATTTATTCGTCTACATTAATGTTGTCGCCTTCAAAATAGTCCCCATTGGATATTATGCACATGTGCCAGCTCTTCTTCCAATACTCGAAACACTTCTAAAACTTGATCTTTGGAATAGGCTTTAGTTCTTTCAGCGATGCGCTTTTAATGTCATCTATGCTTGCAAAACGACGGCCCTTTAAGGTTCTCTTTATTTTTGGGAATAGAAAAAAGTCAGACAGAGGCATGTCTTGCGAATATGGGGCATCATTACAGTATTGTTTTTGGCCAAAAATTTTGTTCAAAATTTAACAATTTTAGAACAAATTTTGCTGCCAAGCGTTTCATACCCAAAACATTCGAAAAAATTTCATGGGATTAGCCAATCGATATACCAACATCATCAGCGACTTCTCTGATTGGTTATAACCATTTCTTCCACTTTTTCCATGTTTTTATCGGTTGTTAATGTGCTTGTGCGTTCGGGACGTTCGTCATCTTCAACGTCTTCACGGCCATCTTGGAAACTCTTATACCACTTATAAACTCTTGTTTTACTTATAGAAGACTCACTATAGGCCTTTGTTAACATTTCAAAGAATTTATTTCATTTTTTAAGCAAAATTGGATACAAATTCTTCGATCCATTTCTTTTAACGAACGAAAAATCGCCGAGCTCATAAAACAAGTGTAACCTTAGCGGCTGCCACAGACAAAGTAAACAATGAAAACAGCTAAATTTAACAATTCCCGTTATTTTCTGAACACACCTCGTATACATATAGTATAGCTGAAAATGCTTTCAAAAATTAATTGTTCTATTACTCCTGATATATAGAAATAAATAGAATACAATAGCAGGTATGTGTTTATTAAATAGGTTTAAATGCACTTTTAAATAAATATTAATAGTCATAAATTAAAAAAAACTTTTTATTTAAAACTAAATTAATTTACATAGTTTAGCAAATATTACAAAGCAGGTTTAATAATTGTGTTGGCTAGTGTTACTTAACAAACTTGAGATTAGTTTAAATAATACACAAACCACATTTTCAGCATGGATGGGCGCGATATGCCTGTGCGTTTCCTTCGTAACAGCACCCTTGATAGTAGCTGTGTGCAGAAGAAAGTCGACTAGATTGGCCGCATTTATCGGAGGATTGCTCACTGCCCTGGCGTGTCTTTTCACGTCTTTCGCCGTGCAGTTTCATCAGGCCCTGTTGAGTTACGGCATAGTTCTGGGCATAGGAGCTGGGATTGTAAGAGAGACTAGCACGATTGTGCTAGGGCATTATTTTAAGAGACGCAGGGAGTTCGTTGAGATGGTAGCGCAGGCTGGAACTGGAGTGGGCATTGCCCTGTTTTCTGTGCTATACAAAGAGGCAGTTGGGTAAGAAACTATATACTTTTAAACATAAATTGATCGATCAATTTAGGTCCTTACGCTGTTTGTGAGATATATAATAAAATAGTTGTGAAAGTATTTGAAAATATTTTGTTTTTAACATTTACAATACTATATTTTGCTTCTGTATTCTTATCCTTAAAATAAAAAATAAAATATAATTTTCAAACCTTGTCTTAAAAATCAGTACTACTAATATATAACTATATACACGGTGCTGTTCTGAGAGGTGATTTTTGGACTTTCTGTGAAACCTAATTTTTTTTTATATTCTTGTTAATTAGGTCATAACTAAAATTTTAAGAGCAAAATAAAAAAAATTTGACGGTTTGAATTGTTTTAATTGGCTGTTTATTAAAAATATTATGCACTCTTTCAATTATCCAATTAAAACTAGCGATTTAATTTAAATATTATCATAATTTTTTAAATCAGATTAAAGATTAGTTAATTTCCTAAAAAAAGGTCTATACATTTTTTATATCTTTTACTGTTTTGTTGTAGGTAATACACGTTTAAAGTTTTAATTTAAGGTTAAATGTATAGTATACATTTATTAAACAATAATTCTAAGGGTGCCACATTTTATTTAGGGCCGATTTATTCATTTTTGATTTATTTGACGAATAATTTCTTTGGATACTAGATATTTCCAAGACATGAAAGTTATCGGCCCGATAAACTTTACTAAAGATGAATAAATGAAATAAATTTCATGAATTTCTTCGTAACTTTTACTACAATTTTTCATTTTTGTTTATAAAAAACACTTTAAAAACTAAACAAAAATTATAGAATACGTAGGTATACTGAAAATGACAATTCAAAAATCAAATAAATTTTTAATAGATCTAAGTTTCATGGCAACCTTTAAGGATATATTAATTAAGGGAACATAAGTGTATACGTCAAAGGTTAAATTAAAAGTTTGAACGTTTATTGCAACAAAACAGTAAAATATATAAAAAAAATTGTAAAAACCTTTTTTTTAGTTATGCAAATATTAAATATTTAAATTAAATCGCTAGTTTTAATTGGATAATTGAAAGAGTGCATAATATTTTTAATAAACAGCCAATTAAAACAATTCAAACCGTCAAATTTTTTTTATTTTGCTCTTAAAATTTTAGTTATGACCTAATTAACAAGAATATAAAAAAAAATTAGGTTTCACAGAAAGTCCAAAAATCACCTCTCAGAACAGCACCGTGTATATAGTTAATTAAACAAAACAATTTTTATTGTCCTTTGTAAGATATTTTACAGGGTGACCCGCTTTAAGTTGACCCCCATTATTTTCCTATATATATATACATATGTATACATATGTATATATATTAGACTGTTTCAAAAAAATCGACTATTTTTTTTTCTTATTAATATTGAAAATATTGTTTGAAATGACGAAAAAAAAAATCCTGTGAAAGTTTGAGCTCTTAATATTAATATTAAGAGGTGCCGCATCGAAAATTTCAATTTCCCATTTAATTAACATGGGAAAAATTTTTTTTCGAACTTTGGAATTTATTAACTCTTTAACAAGTCATCGGACTAGTTGAGTCAGAACATGAAATTTTTACATTTTTCCAATTTTCCGACGCAACCATCAACTTTATGAGAAAATTTAATAGGACTTTTTTTGTAGAATATTCAATTTTCTATAACTTATTTTTTAAAAAAATTTGATATTTTGGATTGGTGTTGGTATTGTTGGTAGAACTCTGGGTATTGTGTGTTGTTTGCTGCTTTTAGGACACCCTGTATAATGATGTGATTTGTTTGTTAAGTTTTTAGGTAAAAAACCTTTTTATCACGCAATAAAACCAAAATATATTAGTATTAAATAGATTTGTTTGTAAAAATTATAACATTTTTGACAAAAACTCAGGAACCTTCTTAGAATTTGTATTGGTTGTACAATTCTGGGTATTGGTGTTGGTATTGTTGGTAGAATTCTGGGAGTTGGTGTTGGTATTGTTGGTACATTTCTGGGTATTGGTGTTGGTATTGTTGGTACATTTCTGGGTATTGGTGTTGGTGGTAGAACTGGCTGTTGTATGGTCCGTAGAAAGGTTGGTGGACACCTTGTTTGTAGGAGAATGGTTGGAAGCCTTGTTTACCGTAGTAGAATTGTTTGTAGAAGTTGTTGTAGAAGGGGGCGTAGCTTTGGTGTTGGCCGTAGAAGAATGGCATTTGTTCTTGTTTGTAGTAGTGGGAGAATGGTTGGTATTCTTCGTGTTTGCCGAAGAAACCTTCTGGTTGGTAGTATTGGTAGAAGTAGTTGAAGGCTTCGTGTCCAATAATTCCGTGTTGTCTTAGGAAGTCTAGGACTTGGTAGACTTGTTGGAATTGTCCCTTTTGTTGCCAGTAGTATTTGTCGAAGAAGTTGAATTTACCTTCTGGGGTTTGGTAGGTGGATGGGACGTATTCTCTGACGAAGGTGGTGGCTGGCAAGTGGAATACTTTTTCTACGATGGCTACAGCGTATTGTTGGCTGACTCCGAAGTGGATCAAGTATTGGTAGAATTCGATGGCTTGTTCAGTGGATTTTTCCCATTTGAATTCTTGTTGTTTGCCGTACCATCCGTTGAAGGCTTCGGTGTCGAAGTGGGTGCCAAAGGACAAGTCGGTGCTGTCGGATTTTCCGAAGTCGAATTTTCCATTGAAGCTTCTGGCTTGGCTGAGAGCCAAGACAGCGACGAGAACGATAAAGCACTTCATTTTCGTTGTATTAGAGTATTGGACGTTCAAACTGAATGTAATTTGATAAGATGATCCATTTGCTTTTATACTAAATAATTATCTTTGTTTTTTGTCTTAAGTAATTCCACAATCCGGTATCAATATTACCGAAATGTGTTATTGAAGGTTTATTTAATTATATTATAAAAAAAAATGATTGTAACTAAGAGAATATTTAATTGTATGATAAATGCAATTAAAAATTTAATGATAAGTGTGCGAAAATATACGCAATAACGCAGTTTATAAATTAAATCATTATAAGTACATTTTTAAGAAATTATTTTAAAGTAATATAGGGATTTAATATTTTTTCTTTAAATTAGAGTGATAAACATATAACAAAAACGTTAATAAAAAGGCAGTTAAAAAATTAACTGCCTAAAAAATATGTCACGTAGCGTAGGTTGTTTTAGGTTTGGACAAATTATCTTTTTCTTAGTTTTTTTATGCTAATTTAGTTTTAGTTATCATGGCAAAAATTAATCTTATCAAACAATTCCCTACTATTACGAAATTAAAAATACAACCTCTTTAAACAAAAAAATATTTAATATATTATACTAATCGTAAATTTGTAAAAATATATTTTTTTATATTTTTTTTAATATTTGGGTAGGTATTTTTTATTTTGTATTGTTTTTTTTTTTCAAATAGGCAGAATGACCTTAAAAATTAAATAGTTTTTGTCAGAAATTATAAAATAATATTAATTATCACTATTATTATTTTCAAAATTAAATTATAATTACTATATTTTTTTTTAAATTTTGCTACCCATATTATCTCACTTGTGTCACCGTTACGATTTTATTTTTTAATTTAAATAAAATTTGAATTTAAGCAAGTTAATATAAGAAATATTTGTCCTATTTTTTAATAGCAAATACAATACTTTTTATTATTTAAGCATTTGCAGTAATAATATAAAATATATGATTACTATTATTTTACTATTTCTTTAAATCTTTTTTTACTACCTATTAAACCTGTATTCTTTTTGGTTCTAAAATAAAGATAACTATTTTAATTATAAGTTTCCGTAGCATACATTTTTAAACCCCCATTTACTTACCTATAATAAATTAAAAATGAATAGGTATTTTTGGGACTCCTAGCTATTAATTAAAATATTAATCTTGCTATTAATTAAAATATTTATCTTGTAATTAGGCTGTTAAATTTAATATTGTAATTACGCAATTATCTATAGTTATAACTTTTTATCAAAGCGGGATAACAACAATTACAATATTCACACAGGTTTGGCAATTTTTTTTAACTTTATGCATTTAAGAAATTTTTACGATGAAGAATTAAACGCTTTTTTGTAAATAAAAGAATAATAACATTATTTTACAAAATAAAGTTGAATAGCAATTATTACGCTTCAATAAAAATAAATCAGCAAAAAAATTGGCCCTATTGTTTAATTATTTTTAAATTGAGGGCCCCTTCTCTGGGTTTTGCTTAGGGGATTTCTCAGAACTGTTAATCTTAATGACGACAACCGTTTTTTAACCATACTTTTTGTAGGCTCAAATTTAATTATTGTTATTCTTCTAATCTTCTAAATTTGACGAAAATATTTTATCTTCTACTTTCTTAAAATATAGAAGCAAAATATTTTAAATTCCAGAATTTTAGAATAAACTATATTTATATATTGTGGGTGGTCGTTAAAAATTAAATTTTTTCTGACGCCCCCTAAAAAGCTTCTTTTTGATGAAAAAACACTGGAATTATTTTTTTTATTAAAATCAACACGTGCCTCTAGACGATCTAAGTTATTTTTTTGGTATAATTATATTTTTTTGGGAATTTTTTATGAAAAATACACACTATATATTTTCAAGTTAATTTTATTTTCGTCATTTTGACTTACCAATGCCATAATTATAAAATTGGTAATTGAGTCAAAATTTATGAAGTGAACATGTGTTTTTTTACCATGATAATAACAATCGGTAAAAACTTTTATTTCCTCCTACACTATAGTAAAGTTGAATTTTACCGTCTCCAAAGGCAAAAATAATCACAAATGCCTAGTCGGTAAAATATTTTTTTACAGTCATCAATACTGCAATTAAAATTAAATTAAATTTAAAAAAAAAATACGATTGTAATGAACTTATTTGGTCCAACAAAAACTTTAATTTTCAAAAAAAATAATTGGACCAATAAAATCTAATATTAGAAAATTAAATAATTAATATTAAATTACCACCATTTTAATTGTCAAA